CAATCGGTCAAAGTTGTTGGTATCCAAATAAAGTTCTTGTCACGAGGAGTACATATGTGAAGTATGGAAGCCCTAGCACCAACCGTTCAAAAGTTATGGCCAAGGTTACAGTTTTTCAAAAGTAGGTCACTCTCCAAGGTCAAGGTCAAAAGGTCAAAGTTGTTGGTATCCAAAGAAAGGTCTTGTCACAAGAATTACACATGTGAAGTATGAAAGCCCTAGCACCAACTTTTCAATAGTTATGGCCAAGGTTAAAGTTTGGTAAAATTTTGCAAAACTGGGTAAAACTCCAAGGTCAAAAGGTCAAATATGGTGGTACCTAAAGAAAGGTCTTGTCACACGAAATACACATGTGAAATATGAAAGCCATAGCTCCAAGCAATTAAAAGTTATGGGCAAGGTTTAAGTTTTTGCGGACAAACAGACGGACGGACGGACAGGGCAAAAACTATATACCCCCGAATCTTCGATACGGGGGCATAAAAATGAGTTTTACGATGACATTACAATAACTTACTAACGTTTAATGTTTGGTTTCTTGTCAGTGGTGCGAGTGGTGAACGTGATTTTTTTTCAACATGGATGTTAACATTTCTGCCAATCAGGGTGGATGAAATGGGTGATCCGTATATATATGAAACAAATCTTCTACATTGGTGAGAATATTAATTTTGTTATTGTGACATCACTGCCTTTCGTTTGATAAAATTTTATGATGTCTCATTAAAATGACGCCTCAAATAACATTATATGAGTTTTAGTCTCCTTCTTTGTTTTATTTTGCACAAACGTCTATTTAAAAATGATCATGTATAACTATACGTCCTTTTTTTTTTTTTTTTTTTTTTTTTTTTTTTTTTTTTTTTTGATAATGAATCCCTATCTTTTATCTTTGATTTTTTTTATATTAAAAATTGCACTGAAAATTTAAGGAAAGCATTTTTATTTATCTTGCAATTTCTGCAATTAAATGTTTATGGATGTTACTAAAAGGAATGTTATAAAAATTGAATTGTAATAAATAAATTTAAAATTAGAGATACTGACCAACCTTTTCTCAAAAGCTGACAAGTGACATACCTGAATTATTTTCACAATATTTGTTGGCTTAAACAATACGATTCGATTATAAGTTTATTTTGTTGTATGTTTTGAAAATGAAAATAAAAATAGGATTATAACTGGATTAGGTTTCATTTCAGCATCGCGGCGTAAAGTATTCATACCATTACGCGGTACAGAAATAGGGATTGTAGAGAGGCTTCAAAGAGAAATAATTCAAAAACTTAGGTAATTGAAATTATAATAATTAAATGTTCTTTAGTCAGAATTTATCGATGTGAAAACCTATGCCTTTGTACTCACAAAGTTAGCATAAAAGTGCTTCGCACTTTTATTCAGTTTTTGAGGACAAAGACATGAGTTTACACGTCGATAAATTCTGAAAAAGAACGTTTAATCTTATATACTGAACTCATAATGAAATTGTGTTCTCTGTTGGTAATTAATCTTTGATTTGATTATCTTCTTTATTGGTATATGATCTTTTGACATGATAAACTTCTTTATTGGTATATCATGTTTTGGTATATGATGTAATGATGAAATTGTCTTTATTGGTACATTGGTCTTAGATTATTCTTTATTATGATAAAGTTGTCTTTTTTATTGATGTTATCATCAAATTGTTTTCTTTATTGGTATATTATCTCAAGGTGAAATTGTTTTCTTTATTGGTATATGATGTTACGATAAAGTTTTTTTTTCTTTTAACGTTACAATGTTGTGATGAAATGTCTTCTTTCTTGGTATATGATGTTGTGATCAAAATGTCTTCTTTCTTGGTATAAAAATGTCTTCTTTCTTGGTATATGATGTTGAGATCAAATTGTCTTCTTTCTTGGATTATGCTGTTTTGATCAAATTGTCTTCTTTCCTGGTGTACGATGTTGTGATCAAATTGTCTTCTTATTGGTATATCATCCATGATGAAATCGTTTTCTTTATCGGTAACAACCATGAGATCATATACCAATAAAGATCTCATGTTTAGATTGTCTACTTTATCAATTGGTATATCATCTCAAGATGAATTTGTCTTCTTTATTGGTACATGATCTCAAGATGAATTTGTCTACTTTATTGGTACATGACCTCATGTTTAAATTGTCTACTTTATTGGTATATCATCTCATGATTAAATCGTCCTCTTTATTGGTATATAATGTCAAGATAATATTGTCTACTTTATTGGTATATGATGCTATGGTAAAATTGTCTTCTTTATTGGTTTTTGATGTGATGATAAAATTTCCCTCTTTTTCTGGATAGATCTCATTTGTCTGACTATACAAGCGCTTTATGACGTTATTGGTGATTTGTTACTGAAGAATTGTTTGCATTTGTGAATTTAAAAAAATGATCTCTGAACTATTGCAACTGTTTTATCTGTCCACCATGCAAAAAGATATTTTTGAAATAGTTTGGGTACAAAAGTTACGGCCAAGAAAGATTAAAGTTTTTCAAAATCAAACTTTGACATGTAGGTCCAGAAGTCAAAAACCATAGTACCTGCACATTCGGAAATGTCTTGTGTCATATGTGAAAAAACACTAAATTCCTGTCTCTTCTGGTGCAAAAGTAACAGCAAAATTTCAAATCTTTGAAAAGTAGGTCAAACATCAAGGTCAATTATGAAGTGCAAAATAACACATAGTTCTTGTCATTGGTAATGCACTATCTTCATAAGCTTGGGCCAAGGTTAAAAATATTGAAAAATAGGTCAAACGTCAAGGTTATAAAAAAAACCCATACTTCATTCTGAAAGATCATCTCATAGATAATACACATTTGAAATATCTACTCTCATTCTAAAGTTATATTTAAAGTTTCATTTTTTTAAAGTATGTTAAAACTTCAATTAATGTCATGTAGTCAAAATAATAATGCAATTGGAAAGCTATACACGTGAAATATAAAGCCCTATCTTCCCTCGTTCAAAAGTTATGACCAAGCTTAAAGTTTTTGTGATTGAGGGCAATTAGTTATATAGCCTATATATTCGTAGTGAAAGCTACAAATTACAGCACCAAAAACGTTTTATGAAATTTTTTTATTGTAAATCAAAAATGAAAAAAAAAATTACTACATTAAAAATTTTGCTTTATCTGCTGAGAAAAAAATTCATTTTTTATAATGTTCACGTAGTTGAGAGATCTAGAGGTGAGAAAATACACACTGTATCTTGTAAATTTCTTATTTCCCCTGTCACAATTGAATTCATTATCATTTAATTTGTTACGAAATACAAAGACCTGTCATTCCGCTGAGATACAGGTTTATTTAACAAATCACCTTAAGTTTGGTTAATTCAAAGCTGAAATTAGAAATCCATGTCTACAATAAACAAATTATGTTCCTTGTAAGGTGACTAATGCGACGTTCGTAAATTATGACAGTCTACATTGTATTATCAAATTTAGTTCCCGCTATTTATAACCATTATTATACAAAGTTTGTCCCTTTTGGTGATTAACAAATGTTCCTGTTTGTTTATAATGTAAGTGTTTACAGTGAAATCATTTCAGATCTTCTGTATGCAATCCTATAGGAACAATAAAAAAAATTAATTTCTTGCTTTTAGTCGAAATTAAAAATACCAAGACTTGCAATTTTCATAAGAATTCTTTGGAACTTTGTGAAACAGTGATGAAAAGTCGTCGAACAAAATCGCAAGACCATTCTCCAGAGGCTTTAAATTAGACAGAAAGATCTTTGTTCTGAATGTAACAAATTCACATATCTGTTAAAGCGAAACCTTAAGGATCTGTGATAAGAATATACCATTTATTCCGCTTATTTGGTAAGACATTCAAAAATTACTATATTAAAATAATCACTGTGGTTCTTGATTTAAATTGTCATCAGATTTAGTCTCCGCAATTAGCATAATTATCGTCGTCAACTTTCTTGCCTTTGCTTCAGTCACTTGGCATGTGAAAACTCTAAACAGTATCTAAAAATTGTATTGGCACATAAATTAGAAAAAAAAAAATTAAGAATCCGAAATAAGTTAACTATGCTGTTACACATATATTTTCGCTCTCCACATAAGACAAGACCTGATGCCGCCGAACTATTGGCACCAGTATATATTGTTGACAATATTTGTGCTAATTGGCAAAGATAAATTCAGAGCGATAATATTTCTCTTAACGGGTGCAGATCCATCAATATGCATACCTTTAACATCAATTTTGCCGTTTCATAACATTTTCTGAAATGTACATGCACATATTCCAAAAACAACTATTTAAAAATGAACACATCTAGCATTCTGTACAGTACACCTAGAGAGAGTCAGAAATAAACATTCTATCCCTAAATCATTTTACCCTGATTTAATTTCCTTGTTTTGTTAGCCTTCTTAAAAGAAACCTCGTTCTATTCTATTATTTTCCACATCTACGTTCTATTCTATTATTTTCCACATCTACGTTCTATTCTATTATTTTCCACATCTATGTTCTATTCTATTATTTTCCACATCTATGTTCTGTTCTATTATTTTCCACATCTACGTTCTATTCTATTATTTTCCACATCTATGTTCGCCTTTTCACCTGTTCAAAATCTTATCATTGAAAAACAAAATTAGTTTTGGAAGTAAAAAGATATCATGGTGTATTTTTGACTTTAAATATTATACTGAGGTAAATTTGAATAGATATATCGTTAACATCTAATCATTTCCCTTCTGTGGTAGTGGCAGGTTAGACATTTTTATGGCGGTCTTCAAACTTCTTTGACATATCCTCCAACATAATTTCTTTGTTTTACATCACAATCTGGGGATTCCTCTGTTCGAATCATTTAATTTATACAAGTAACTGAATTCTATGATAATAATTATATGAAAATCTTACTAAAATGTGTAAACATTTACTTACATTAAAAAAAATCATTTATTATTATAATTACAGTAATATGATAACCAGAAATTGAAACGCCATAATTAATAAGATATATAGTAATTTAATTATAAATGATAGTCCTAATTATAAATCTGTGCTCACCAACACAGCAGTATGATACCCTGAGGTTGTGTCTTCATCGTCTCACAGTCACGAACAAACAGAATCTCAACACAGTCCATATTAGCTTAGTATTGTAAAAAAAATCTACGTAGCAGAATCATTACTCTTCAGTTTCATGTATGCATCTTTGGGAACTATTGCTTCAAACTCTGCGTAAATTCAAATACAATCCTGTAACGCAAACATTTCTTTTTTTAAGCCTATGTAATTCATTAAAAATTTAATTTAATTTTCATGGCAATTAAGACAATTTTCATGAACCATGAACAGAGTAGAAAAGTAAAATATTGTGAATCTCTCTCTCTCTCTTTCTCTCTATCATCTCATAGATAATACACATTTAAAATATCTACTCTCATTCTAGAGTTATTTCTAAATTTTCATTTTTTTAAAAATTATGTTAAAACTTCAATTAATGTCATGTAGTCAAAATGATAATACAACTGGAAAGCCTTGTCCAGGTAATGTACATGTGAAATATAAAGCCCTATCTTCCCTCGAACGACCAAGGTTAAAGTTTTTGTGATTGAGGGTAATTAGTTGTATAGCCTATATATTCGTAGTGAAAGCTATTAATTACTTACGTCACCAAAAACGTCTATCTATCTATCGATTGATCGGAGGAGGAGGAAAAAAATGTCCCCAGTGTTGTCCTTAGCTTCTGATAATATATTTTCTACAAAGAGAAATGATTTTTTTTAAGTCAATCAGTTATTAATCTCAGTATAGTATACTTCCTTAATATAATCCATTTTGACACATTTTTGTGTAGGTCATTTTTAAAACATAGTTTCCTGTACCGTTTTTGAATTATTGTTTTCTATACTGTTATGGTTAATTGAGAACAATGCATAATTAACAGAAAGTTGTTTCTCGAACACGCTTTCAATAGATAACACACGGGATGTGCTGCAAATGCTATATTCCTTACAGTCTCATCATCGGTATCCAACCTTAGTGGCAAGGAGAACACCCTGAGTATTGCAGCATTTGGTTTTCAACAATAAAAAATCAAACGTATGAAAATTAATCAAAACTTCATGAAGTATGATTTAAATTTTCCAAAATGGTGCCTATAGGATTAAGCAAATGTTTAAATTGCCGGGTTTTTTTTCTATAAAACCCATCCTTCGTGCATATGAAATAGGAGCAATGAAAATTTACGTCACAGTTTTGACGTTATATATCTAGAGACAAATTTAACAATCAGGAAAAAAAACACAACAAAAAACACATTTTGTTTGTATCTGGAAGAACATGTTTCAGGTAGCTGTGATTACTTTTTTTGTACAATTTTCCTGTAGCACGATATGTCAGTTTATGATTAATCTACCTGAGATGATGACACATTCATATTTGTAATAAAACATGTATGCAATTCATGTACAAATTAAGATGCTAGCATGCATTTAATTACCTCTCCTAATTATTTTTCTGCACGTATTACACAAAGAATGCTGGTCATTAATAAACAGAAAATTTTGTACACAAAGTTGCAAGTTGTAGTTCTTTCTCGAACATTTTGAATTTTGAAATAAATTCGCTGCCTATGAAGCGTGACAATTTCAATGAAACATTGTCAATTTAAGGGAAGTTGTTGTGTGGTTTTGACTGAGAGTCCTCACGCATCACTTGTTACATAAGCACTCAGGCGTCCGTCATTGAAAATGAAATGTAGTTCTTTTTTTTAACTGAAAATTAGCATAAGATGTATTCTTACGCGTTACGCGTTCCACAAGAAGTCCTAGAAGTGGGATTCGTTTTGAAATGATTTGAAACAATGTGATAGTTTTCTGAACTTTTATTTTCGACGGGAAAAAGTTTCATCTGTTTCTAAAATTCATCATTTCAATGGACCGTCCCATTTACATTTCTTTAATTAACAAACATTTATTAACAATGTGTGCTCGATTATTTCTGGTTTTGTGTTTAATACAGGGATTTAGCAGCGCAGTGCAAACATACTCAGAACTTCTTTATCCAGTTCCCAGACACAAGTTGCAGACTTTGGGGAATCCCGTACCCGACCTCACAGCTGCAAGTTTGAAATGCTCTAAGGTTGGTACGGATTATGATTGTTTAATTTTTCTTATAATCTGTTTTGCATATTTGTTTAGTGATAATTTTATGAGACTTCATTGAGTTCTACATATTGAAACCTGTCACCTATTTAAATTTTATGAATTGACTTTGTTTTATGCTTAAATATATTTCTTTCTATTAAAATGTCAGTTGTACGCAGCAGTATTTCTTTTCAGTTTGTTACATGTACAAATACAAATACTATTCTAGTTTTAAAAAGACACAAGAAAGCAATACCATTTTTCAAAATATAGAAAAGCTTAACAATTACCAATTTCAAGCAAGAAAATAGAAACAGGTTAATTATATCCTAATAGTACTTATTGTATGACTTAATCATGGATTTTTTAAAAAGGCTGATACGACTTCATCACGTCTTACAGTGCAGAAAAAAAATCAATTGAATTTTTTGTAACGTTTTAACGTCAAAATTGGTTTAAGATTTGTAATGAATTCTAGATAGTATAATTAATAGTAATCAAGAATTCTTTAAATTAGATGTATTCTTTTTATAAATGCCAAAGTTCAATGCAATCTTGGTTTTCGAAAACAAAATTACTTAGTGTACAATAAAACTGACTATCATGAACAACTTTAATTTGTTTAGCAATCTTTCTTGTCATATCAAAGAATGATTAAACCATATATAAATGAGAAAAAGCCACATTATCTGGTTGGATATTAATTTACGAGACCGTACATGGAAAAGACATTATTCAAATGAATTTCTAATCCTCAAACAAGCCTTGAGAAAGAACACTGTAAAACGTGCTTAATTCATTTAGAGAAGTCACCCAATGGCAGTGTATTTAGCCCGCGTTTCGTATATCTCACTAATTAATTCACGGACAAATTTTCTTACAAACAATTAGCTTAATTTATGCTGTCAGAAAGGAAAGCTGTAAATATATAGGCACCCCTGACAGTGGTTTGTGTCATAAAAAATATTTCGTGATATCAATTATGTAAGATCTGTCAGAAATATTATTTAAAAACATTTAATTCGATGAAGAGGACGGTCTTTGAGTTATCCTCCCCTTAATGGGGTCTTTGGTATTACTTTGCCTGATTTATAAGTAGATAAACTTAAGAAAAGATCGATAGATAAATTAAATAAGATTTCTACGAAAACTGTTAACCTTGTTTTATAAGTCGAGAATACACGTATTTATAAAAAGTGTTGATCATATATATTTATATACATCAATACCAGTTAAAAATTTACATAGTACTCCGTGAAGTTTGATTAAAACTCGACTTATTCAATGTAAAGGTCAAAATGTGAGGAAAATATCTAAATGTGCATCATAGAGTGAAGAATAAGAATATACAATTATGTTTTCTACAAGATAATATAAAGTTGAAATTAAATTTTATTCTCGGATACATTGTTTCCCAGAAACTGTAAATCTGCATAAGGAATATACAAAGATATTACCTAGGAACTCAATTTCTCAAATTATTTTTAGGCTAATATTAATCAAATTTAACGTCATATGACATAAAAACGAGAGTTTATGAATTTCCATGTTTGACATTTAACGCTGCAGGAAATTTAATAAGTGAATTTAAAACGGACGAAAATGTATTTTTTAATTTTCTTTCCTACAGTTTTTTAATATGACGATGTGCCTATGAATAAATTTAAATTCAAATTCGTTTTATTTCATTTTTTCCAATTAACTTTATTGGCTCCATAACGTAGTAATATGAGGAAATTAAAGTTGAAATTAATTTGGAATGCTTATATAATGAAATCACAAACCTCAAAGTATTGGCATTTGATGTTGTTTATTTTCCTCAGTATAACAAAAAAAAAAAAAAACCATAATTATTATGATGGGCGTATTTTGTGTTTTATACTCCTGAACATTAAATTTAATGACAATTCAAGCTGAACAAAACCTCTTTATCCTTGAAAAAATTTTCTCTGCTAAGAACTTTTGAAATGAGATACATTGCTTCCAACCAACAATCTGCCATTTTGTAATGATCATTGAATTGATTTGATGTCTATCTACTATTTACAGTATACTGTCGTTATCAATTGCGTATGTCACATGCATTTAAAAAAATGTATATCTTCATTTACTTTGAATCAATTTTATTTATAAAGGTGTGTAAATTCGCTTTTTTCCCCGCCCATTTTCCCTTTTAGCACACAATCGCTTGAGATTGAATTTGGCATATGTTAAGTATGTGAATGTTTCTTGATTTCGCGAAGTAAAGCGTACGCAAAAATGGCAAAATTTATTATTTTACTGCATTGTGCAGTAATTTTGTTCGTCCTTGCTATAACGGCAAATCTTCATTGATAAAGAAATCAAATTCTGATGAGTTTGTTTACCCCCCCCCCCACCCCCCTTCCCCATTTCGTTGTGGCTCCTTATAAGGTCTAATGTTCTCATCTATCAAGGAGAGTACTGTTTTGTTCTGTGTGTGAACAATTCAACACTCATTGATTTGTGAACTGATTGATAGAAAATATCAAAATAGCTGAAACTGAGAAATGTGGAAAATGAATGAAACATGTCAAAGCATGTACAATGAACAATCTAAAAAAAATAAAAATTTATTTCAGTTCCATTAAACACATCAGAACAGGTAATTTAAATTCTTTTCGAATGACTCTCTATCTCTTGCTTTGTAGAAGTAAGATATTTGTTTTCTGTGATTTTTGAGATAAATATAGGTCGATTGCACTGAACTCACCTTGCCCATTTACATATGAATTCCTAATAAATTTATTTGTGTGATTTTTATATAAGTTCTCTTTTTAATACCGCATCAAGGTAGCAACGCTTCTATGTATAGGTCTTTTTTCGGCTTATAAGATTTTTCTGAGGTTTGTGATGAATACTCTTTAGCACCTATGATGTTTCATTGATAAGAATGCATAAGTTAAAACATTTATCTTGTCATCTTCAATTCAATTCACGGTCAAATTAATTAAATATCACGGCATGCATAATTAAAATTTGGCCATAAAACCATCTACATGTATCACTTGCACTCCTCAGTATTTCCTGTGCTTTTTTTATTCACCTCGTCTCTACGTGAGACACGTTTTGCGTGTAAATCGTAAGATAAACAGACATTTGTCTATTTTGAGGTCTATTTTGAGGTCTATTGGTAGATAAAAGGCCATTTGGAGCTATGTTCTTATATGTGGTTGGAATGTCAATATTGTTTAATTAAATGTCGATTCCTTTTTTAACTGATACCACCAAGGATCTGAATATCTTAGTCAGAATTTAGTATTGTAAAGTAGTCTAAGAGAAGATGTTTTATTACGTATTGTTTATAAAAGAAAGTAACTTTTTTGTTGACATGGCGATGAAGTGCCAGTTATTAACAATGAGTTCTTCCCCTAGGATCCTGAAATAAACTGAAGTCAATCATTTGTAAAATGTTTATTTGTAGTGAACTGACACTATAAAATTGAAGATAACAGCATGTTGGTGATGCAAAGACGAATAAAAGTATGAAATGGGTTTTTTTTTTTTGGCATCTTAGTTCTTTCAGCGCAATGTATTAATTTTGACTTATGCTTTTAAATATCATTGGCCATTATTCCAAATATCAACAGTTGTTGTTTTATTTTTCGTGAAGACCTGTTACAGATAATTAAATTAACATGGGCATGTGTTATTTTTTGGTAAAATTAACCTCAAATCGGAATATGAATGTATTTGATTGTACACCGACTGTTTCAAGTCACAAATGCTTGAAAGGGTTTGATTTAGTTTGATAAAATATATCATGCTGTAAATTTTGAACACACCCCTACCCAGTAAATTCTAAATTTACAATTTGATAAATTCAGTTCAATTCGACAGATTTCTGACTTAAAATAGAAAATGAATAACCCTCATTGGTATTTGCACGACAATTAACTGGCAATTAATTAGTTAAGATATTTATAATTAATTATTAAGATATTTATTAAATTCTTGACATAAGTCCAATATGTTTAAAATAATGTCTATTATGTTTCCTTTCATTACCTTGTTCTTTTGAATCTTTGTGACTGCTTGTTAAATATTTTTAACTGAAAATAATAATATTAATAATAATAATAATAAATTAAAACGATTTCGAGGAACGTTTAATATGTCATTGATCCATTGTTTCCTCCAGAAATAAATTGTCAATATCATTTACACAAACCAAAAATGTAACTACATGTATCTGTAAATGTATATCTTCTCTCGTCACAGCAAACTTTTCAATGAAGATGTGTTTTTTTTTCCAATCATATTCAATACTGAAAATTCTTGATAAACTCTGCCCTCAGGATGATAAATGAGGTATTTAATGTCACTTCTAGGTCATGTTTCTGAATACTATGAGTTAATTTACTAAAGTATTAGGTTATTTCTATTTTTTTATGGTATAACATCAGTCATTTCATGTATTTTCAATGTAAAAGAATCAGAATGCATTGATTTCAAGGTCAACATAAAAATCATTCTTTTTAAGTACATTACTGCCAGTTCAGTTTAGGTTTGGAATATCAAAGACACGGATCTTATTTTATTTATACATGCAATTCTTCAGAAAATTTCTTAATTTCGTTTAAGAATTAGATATGAGATAACTTTAAATTGGAGAAAAATAAAATTTCTTAACTCATGTATGTAAAGAAATACAATTAAGTATTCATGACTGATTGGTAATCATTCAGAGAAAACCAATGACATTGTGTTTTTATAACAACTGGGAAGCATATGGACGTAAACCAATTTCTCTAAATTCATTTGTTTGTCAGTATGTATCTTAATATGTATATAAACTGTTCTCTTCTAAAGCCAGAGGATTATGACTAGAGTCCCTGTCTTTATGGTTATCTGTGGATATTTCCATGGTGATTTATGTTGATAATTTCTTTCAATGAAATGTGTAAGCTAACCTTAAGAAAAAATATTTAATGTTTTGATTTGGCATTATTCTGTTGTAGAGGGATTGGCGATCCTACATTTCGCCCTAGCTTCCACCCCCCCCCCCCATTTGGTATTATAATCAGACATAAATAAACTGAGACAACCCTTAACTATATCTACAATAAAACGAGTTTTCTCATATTTATAGACTATTCAGGAGAATTAACTTTTTTTTCGTACCTTACACCAGTATTCACCTTTATTCAGAATATAAAGTACATGTACAGATTAAAAAACGATAGGGCAAGTAAAGTCAGAAAGATTAAAATTGTAAAATAAAGAGTGAAGCTATATTCCCTGATTAAATAAAAGAAATATACTTTGTCTACAGACTGTTTACTCTTTTGTAGGATGTAAAGTGTGGATACTGTGGTCCACTAGGGCTAATAAGAACAGACAACCCACCTTTTACTCCATATTTGGAGGGAAGTGAAATTAAGTTATCAACCTTAATAAATGACGTTACATATGGCACGGTTCAAGTATCTCTCTGTGTTCGTAATGATTCATCAAAAGATGAAAACGAGGCCTGTGTCCATGATGTACAACTTTACTTTCCGGAAGTGGAATCATTTACGTTTCCAATATCATCCTCTGGTGAAAAATCGATTAGCATTCTCCTTCCACGTGGATTGTCATGTCAACATTGTATTCTGAGATGGAGCCTAACGGAAAGTAAGTATAAATTAAAAAAGAAAGAAATCTATTTTTGAGTAGAAAAAATTACAGGAAGAGAATGTTAATGAATCTAACAGCTTTTGTACATTTTTCTTCATATCACTTACCGAACTGTTTAAATTTTAACTTGATAATTAAAGAATAAACATTATAACAAATAGTGTTTATCTGTTCATAAAGGGTAAACTTGAGAAGGGATTTAAACACATCTTTTGTCTTTTATAAAATTCAAAAGGAGACCCAACGTGCTCAGGATGTGAACTTACAACAATAAACTGCGCAGATGTAGTTATAGATCCCACCGCACATAGGAGAACCAAACGCCAAGCTGCAAAAAAACCAAAAAAGAAATCCAAAAAGAAAAAAGGTCTAGTGCCTCTTCTCCCGCCACCCACCCCAAGGACTCCTACAACGAGTCAAGGAACTTCCCCAGCCCCTACCCGATACACCACAAGAGGAAATACCTTTTTGGAAATGATTAAAATGATGCAACTAAAAAACAAACAACAAGCGACTAGCGTAAGAGACAAAAATCTCAATGTAATGAAAAATACTCGACCACCACCAAATCATTTTGCATCGAATCCTCTTTATGTATCCCCTGTGCCTAACAAAACAGTCAGAAAAGTTCAGGGCCACACAATTCCAAAATCCAAAACTGCAAGGAATTCTCAAAGGATTCCTCCCACAGCCAGTCCTGTAGTTGCGTACAAAAAGGTGAGAAATGTTCCGAAAGAAACCAACACTCTATTTAAAAAAGAATGGCAACATCAGTCCGGTTATTCTTCTGGTATGAATGCGCTAGAAAAGCCTGCAGAAAGTTATGAAAGTGGAGTTATTAGGAAAACTGCTCCTTCAAATGCTTTTCTTGATGCAATTCGGCGTTTTAAGAAGAAAAAAATGGGTTTAGATGAATTGATACAGGTCAATAAACCACAACTAGGAGAATTCCACGGTAACGTGGAAGTTACCCGGATTAAGAAAATAGAAAAACCTCAAGACCAAATGTCCTCTGTCAATACCCTTTTTGAAAAAGAGAGTAAGTTCAAGGAACCACAACTCTCGAAATATGATATTTTCGAGAAAATTCCTAAAACACAAACAACCTCTACAACTAGGACTACTATACAGACCACGAAAGCGCCTATCACAGTTCGCAAAATTTCTTCAACAATACGACCTAAGAAAGCTGGCGTCCGAAATTTGGCGAAGAATACGTTTTTGGAAGCTATAATGAAGATGAAAGGAGTGCCTCCCAAAATGCCTTCATCACAAGTAAAATCTAAGGTTATCCCTTCTAAAACACAGAAATCAATGACTACCCAGCGTGTCACTAAAAAATTAACAACGACAAAAGCTCCTACAACAGCAGTCACGAAGGTCACCACAATACCCGTAAACAGTCTTCCAAGGCAGACAAAACCACAGGCTAAGAACGATTCTTTTATGGAAGCTATTAAACGTCTTCAGAGTCAACGAGAAAACATTCTCAATCAAAGACAGCCACAAGTTAATGCTCTGTCAAGTACACAAACTACAGTAAAAGAGTCAACAGCAACTGCAACTCGCACTTTAGCTCCCTCAACATCTACAACAAAAGCAACGACCAAGGTATCGACAAAGAAAAGCAATGGACTTTTACCAGCGTGGGGACCATGGGAAAGAACATCAAAGACTACCAAATCTACCACCACCTCTACCTCTAGGTCAACAACACTAACATCTACTAAAACCTCCAAAACAACCTCAATGCCAAGTACATTCTATACTTCCCCAAATAGTAGTAGGCGTAGAACAACAATGGAAGAAACAGATTCTATTTATCAATTCACACAAATCCAAACCACTGCAATACCTCTAATAGAAGACAATCCGTTCATACATTATTTCGTTATCCTTCCTCCAATGGATAAAGATAAAAAGAGCACAATAAACGAAACACCTTCCACAGTCGACACGACCCCAATAGTAAATAGTACAACAGGAGAAGGGCTAACATCGAGTACACAACAAACTACATCAACACTATCAGGGGGCCTCTTGGAACTTGCTTCCATTGATAAAACCAAGACTACTTCAGTTGCACCATCAACGTATTTGATATCGAAGGCTATAAATATAGATTCAACCTTTGAAACTAGTTCACGAAGTTCAAAAGACACTGAAATGTATTCATCGAATGCTATAAATATAGACTCAACCTTTGAAACTAGTTCACGAAGTTCAAAAGACACTGAAATGTATTCATCGAAGGCTATAAATATAGACTCAACCATTGAAACTAGTTCACGAAGTTCAAAAGACACTGAAATGTATTCTTCTCCATCCACATCCTTAAATCCTATGGTAACTTCAACTCAAATGAAGACTACCTTGACCTCTGGATTGCTTCCACAGAGTTCTCTCAAAGTAAAGAAACTGACATCGTCAGCGGGAATTTTACCTTTGAGAAAAAACAAAGAACAATTAAAAACTACAATCAAAAGTCCCATCACCTATACACGAGGAAACGAAACTCTGAAACAATCTGAGGCTAAAAATACACCAGTATCAGTAACAAAAACTTCAAAATTAATAAGTGCAACACAAAACAAAAAAACAACAATACCAATGGGTATTGATGTATCTATTTCTTCTCAATTACCCCCAAAAACTACACTTGATGAAAAGTCAGCCTTAGCATTTAAAGAATTGTTTAAACCAGAAGAGTTCAAAAAGATTCGAAAAGAGAATTCTCTTCTTCCAAAGTCTAAATCTGCTGCTACAACAGTGGATAGAAGCGGTACCTCTGAACCAACAGGAAAGAGAGGCATCATATCAAAAGTACAGGCTTTTGGATCATCTTTTGATACCCAAAGTACACTTGATACTACTACACCAAACATCAACCTAGAAACCTTCATTTCAGAATCAAACAAAATAACTTCTTCAACGATGCAGGCTACAAAAAGCGAGATGCTGCAAGAAGAAATGCACAAACGTGTAATGGATGGTAAGAATTACGATTTGCTAGAAAAGGAATTACATGACAAACTGTTGGAGCCTAATCAAAGTTCAACTTCAGACTCACAGAAACCTGTTTACTTAGATCTCATCCACGAAGACATGTATAAACATTCAAATGCAAAATCAAAACCCTCAACACTGTCCACAGCAATATCTACAACACCTAAAGGGAAGCAGATAAACAGATTACTTCCCTCAGCGCAACCAAAGACCAACAACCAGAAAAAGAAAAAGTTAGGCTTCCTACCCCTTATGCCTGTAATGTCAAGCAAGCGTCCAATGCAGTTAAGCACAACAGAATCCACTATTTCAAATTTACCTTCAATATCAATCTCTACTACCACAACACAATCTCCAACTACTACAAGTCAACAAACAAAATCTACAACCACAACCATTGACAAATCTTCATTTTTATTTAAAATGCAAGAATTAAAACTTCAATTATTGCAAAAGGAAATTGAAAATCTTAAAATGAAGCTGCTAGAAATCAATCAAAGCCCCTGGTCGTCTAGAGTTCAAATAAAGCAGACCAGAACATCCTCCTCAAGATCTTCAACAACAACAACTGAAACCCCAACTACATCAACAACCACAACTACTGAACCTCCAACAACTACAACTACCACGGAAGCTCCAACTACCACAGAAGCGCCAACAACCACAAGTACCACGGAAGCTCCAACTACAACTGAAGCTACAACAACTACACAGTCGTCAACAACAACAAAAGCACCACCACCAACAACAGAAATAACAACAACTGAATCAACAACCACAGAACCACCAACAACAACCACCGGACCATCAACAACGACTATACCTACAACAACCACTGAATCTATAGCCATATTGATGAGGAATTTTTTGAAAATTTTCCGTCCCATTCTGTACAGACAACTTCATATGAGTGCAGAGCAGAAACAGAACACACCTGCTGTCATACCAATGACCATGATTAGGAGGACGACCAGATCGCCTACATCAAGTTCCATAACAACAACGCCAAAGACACTACCGACAACAAGCACTACAATCACTACTACACAAGCTACATCAACGACAACCGAAGCTCCTACAACTACAGTCGCAACAACAACGACCACACGAGTTCCAACAACGTTTAGGACTAAGATGACGACACCCAAACAAACAACAGTCTCCAAAACTACTCTCTCAGAAAAGATGCTACTGCAGCAGTTATTAATGGAGTTCCATCCAGACGTTTACAACAAACTTTACAACACGAAAGCAAAGGATGCTACAGAGACGACAACGACTTACGAGCCTACTACAGACCCTATCACCGCCGCTACAGGACCTGTCGTGGAACTGACGGAACTAACTGACCCACCTACGTCAAGTACAAGAACAACTACCCTAACTCCAACAACAACTACAACATCAATTAAAACAACCATCAGGACTAGACCTTCGACAACAACAACCTCATTGAGAACAACACAAACAACAAGAAAACCACTAGTAACACTGGCAGATAAAAAGATAACTCTACCCGGATCAACCACACCCATAAGCTATTTTGAATTCCTTGAGAAGGCAAAGAATGCTAATATACCTATTCCACCTCAGATTCAACAAGAATTGAAAAATCTTTTTGAAAAAAGCAAAGCAAAATCTACAACATCTACAGCTACCCGTTTCACAACAAGAATACCTAGAAAAAGTCAGGTAAACATTGTGCCAGTAGATCCAATACTGATTAGAGATTTTGACAATCCTTTGCCAGTGAGACGCTGGAGTCCATCCATGCAAGGTAATCCTACTTGTGTAATAATAATATTAATACAAGTTTTTCCTGTTTTCTTCGATGAACATTCCAAGTTAGAGATAAAGTCCATTTTCTGTACATTTTTTCTTTCAATATTAAAAGCAAATTCTTTCCATTTTTTGTTTGATGTCTATTTTATTATCCTACGCAACTATTACTGATCTTTAGCTTTCAAATTTAATTTTCAGAGCGTACAATACCACCTCGAATCACTACCACTACTCGTAAAATAACTACTGCCACGTCTGCATCACCAACGAGTAAAAAGCCACAGGTAGCAGAAATCCTAAAGAAATATAAGGAGATGTATGAGCATGGGGTGGACAAGCAAAAAATTGTCCAAGCAATCTTTAAAAACGTGGATATTGACACGCTCGTTGATAATAAGGCTCTATTTAACCAGCTTCTATCTACAGAATCTCCACAGGGGCAGGCAAACTACAGTCCCTCCACGAAAATAGGATACCCATATGATACTACGCACAATTATGGACCCAGCCCTTTAAAGAATATCCCTCATAACCAGGGACAGAATGTCTTAGAGAACCCAAATATGAACGTAGTACTAGCGTATTCTGAGCGACAATCGAACCGAGATAGAGCTCCCGGTCTAAGCGCTTTTGAAAACCAGATGATGGGAATACCAGTGGATATTCCAACAACACGACAACCCTTCCGGTTTGCTAACAATTTAAGAAAAGAATCACAGGATCCCGTGGGATGGGGTGCACCTGTAAACGACGTACAAATCCGTGAATATCGATATACTAATGGTGATACATCAATTAATAACATACAAAAGAACCAGCAAGGATTTGCCCAGGGACAGTACGAGTTTGCTCCGGGATCTTTTGATGCAGTAGCCGCGGAAAATCCAAATGCAGGCTTTGTATCGAACAATAATGAGGGATTCGGTAAAAACACCAGGCCCCCCGTCTTGCAGCTGGAAAATACTGTGGCGTACAGAGAGAGGGGACTAAATAGCCACAAGCATGGTCCTCTGGTGGTGGGTCCCAGTGGTTCATTAATGGATTTAGGAATGGTTAATAGGCTTCAGAGCGTGGACAAACAGGGGAGTGGAGCTGTAATTATGTCTAAATCTCTGGGAGCAAACTTAGTTCTACATGCCAAGGACAGTATTGGTGGCGGATCTGTCAGTGCTGTTAGTAGTGGAGGCTCTTTATCACAGAGTCCGCGTAATATAGGCCCACAAGACTTCACCATCAAAAAGCAGGTTGGATCGCTGTCAAACTCTGGAATCGCACGAAGCAGCCAATTATCAGCGCCAGAAGAATCACAGATTGCTGATCCACGTACATTCAGATTGAGGCGCAGTACACGGGGAATAAAACATCGCGAGTACAAACCTAGGAGACGGCAATACATGTTAGAAAAACAATACATTGTGGATTCCAGTGACAAACTGGTATGTCTCATAGGAGAAACACTGGAATGCAGAGGCACTGGAGAATTTACAGACATTAAGGGCATAAACTGGTTTTGTTTAAGCATGTGTGAAAGGGACAGGTGCCCCAAAGATAAGTGTCAGTGTGGTTGTAGGGATCCAAAAACTGACATGTGGCGACCCCTACCCAACTAAGTAAGCAATCAATTTTCTTCCTACCGGGTCATTGTAGTACACCTTTTCTGTTTTACTCATACTTGTACTATGTTCTGTATCTGTGTTATGGAAATAAATAAACTGTTTTGTTTTTGAATTTTAGTTTATTAGATTTTCTATAAAAAAAAAAAAAAAAAAAAAAAAAAAAAAAGTACTGTGATAGGAAACTGTACGACGTGCTCCTTTTCACATTTATGTACGTTATAGATTGAATAGAAAAACTTTTGTTTTGGCTGATTAAGGTTAGCATGGCTAAAGGCGGAATAAATTAATGGCAAAAGACCAGATAATCTGCTCAAATAAAGGCATCTTCTTTGATAGAGATTATTGATTACTGATAAGGAATTCTTGAAAAACAAGAAACTCTCAAAATTAAATCGATCATTCCTGGGAATTTTTAAACACATGCTCAAAAGCACGATAAATGCAATACATATATTTTCCCCTGTCGTTTTATTTCGAAACTTCCTTTCTAAGCCCCGAATCTACGATGCATTATTCAAGCATGACACGATGAATTCAAATAAAATTTTAATGACGTGACCTAGTGCAGGCAAACAAATTTCAAGATGACGGAAACGTATGATAAATGAGACGAATTATGAATAATTTCTCTCTTACTCCTCTCTCTCTCTCCATTTATTTTATGAGAACTAAGCAAATAAAAAAAAGAAGTAGAAAATTAAGGTAGATAATTTCTAATCGGTTTAATGTAAAATGTGTTGAAACAAATCGTGAGCAGAGTAAAACTGGACCTCCAAAACATCACCGGTGAGATTAAGTGCCAGGGAGGAGTAAGCATCCCCTGGCGCCCGGTTACACCCATCGTGTGCTCCTTGTCATGATCGGGTAGACGGGAAAATCCGTAGACAATTTAATGTGAAAATAATGGCCTAATAATTTAAATAAAACCATCATTCTTTGACTTAACGATAGATCGTATTTGCTTACAAGGTTTTTGAATCGACCATTAAATTTGCGATATGTTGACGTTAAACGAGACTGCTGATATGAATAAATAATCAACGTATTTGTCAATAGCTTGCCTCGTGTAAGAAATTGTTCGTAAATAGAACAAGCCCTTGCGTATCGAATCAACTGAGAGACATCATCTCCATATGCAGGTGATAATGGTCCTTATAGTTATCTTTATGTGATGTAATATGTATATTATCATGTTTAAAATTATCAAAGTTTTAGTACTCAAGAATTTGGATTTTTCTTTGACAAACCAATTCAATTGAGCCAAATTATATTAGACTTTGTAAGGACCTTAATCGAATGGCATTTATTTACTTTTTACCCGTAATAATTGTAAAATATTGATTAAAAACAGCATACATATGCTCTTTCGGCTCTAAGTATAGTTCAATTATGTGTAAGCGATCCTGAATAAAACATGCAATTTTTGATATGATATAAGTATTTTATATACCAGTATGTCTTAAAGCAATATGAGCTGCAACTTTGATGCCGGAAATTTTTGTTGCAAACTTGTAATTAACTATTCCACTGACAAGAAAAAAGAACATTTATAAACTTCTGTTGTTCATATTTGCGATGGAAGAACTATTTTAAAGCTTTGGTTGAAGCAGAATTACATTATTGTCGTCCTGTACAATATTGATTCCTTATGTAATTCTACATATTCGATTGAACAGAAGCCTTACTTCTGAAACAAATTAATACTTTATTTGAGTCAAGTTCATCAAAAAGGTTCAAATTAGATAAAAACTTATCAAAATAGCACATTTTAACGGCAAAATTGAATTTTCAAAAATGCAGCTCATATTGCTTTAAATACCTTCCAATTTTTTTTCCTTTTGGGAGGATAGTTTTTACTTTAAAAAAAGTTTCTTTCTTAAAGCTGAAGATGTAAACTATTTAATGATGTCGATATATATTATCATGTGGTGATAAAAAAATACCACGAGAATTGCCTTTAAGTGACCTCATAGTTGACATTATCAAAGGGGAGTAACCATTATTTTAAGATTTTGCAAATTTTTAAAGTTGTCTTTCTTTCATTAGGCTTTAAGGTAAAAAGTCTGTCTTGAGTGAATTTTGTCGATAATTGATAATTTTATAGAAAATTTCAAGAAATTTCATTTCGAAGTTTTTATTATTTTTTTAATTTTCTTACTAGTATATATGTTCATTTCATCATGCACCGGACACAAATTAGCCACGTATTAAACACTTTCCGATGCATGGGTAATATCTTCCATTTTTCGTATAGAGATACATGTGCATGCAAAATGCCCAACTGAAAGCTTTTTTTGCAGAAATAAAAAATATAAACACAACATATTCAGTGCAAAACAAAATTATCAATATATGACTACTACAAGTGGGATCTCTTTAATTTTTAAACTAGAAGATGATAACACTCGAGACCATGCAATTAAGGCGCAAGTTGTCAAATTACCAGGTATATTTCAAGGCCTATCAAAGGCGATGTGAAGCAACTTAAATGTCTTCACATCTATGAATCGATATAGTTAATCAATTAAAACAGAGTTGTCAAGTATTTTCATATCACCAATGTAAAAGCATTTCGGGTATTTTAAGGGCTACTGGAATATAGTTAGGATATCCGGTTCAATATGCCGTTTATCCTATACATGGTGAATATCGTCTGATCCATGGTAAATTCTGGTTCATTTGAAAAAAAAAATAATTTAATGATATTTTCTCAATAAATAGCATAAAATTGTGTCACAAATTAATATTCTAATGACATAATGCATGTTAAACTTTATTTTGTTAATATTCAGTTGGTAGCGATATAGCTAGAACCTCTTCAAGTACGAGAGTGTTCAATGCATAATGAACTCACCCAAACAGATGATTTTCAAAACCTGAGTATTATAAAAACCTTAATCCGAAGGACCGGTTACTTTGTTAATGCCCAGCGTTCATCGAAGTAGGTAAAAATTCAGTATCTCATTTTCTTTTTGATTGACCAGAGTCGATCATGATATTCCGGACATGAGCTGGACCAAATCTACTAAATGGACACCTTTGATGTTTATATGATTTGAAATGTATGTGTCAACTAACCTATTGAAACTGAGCTAAATACCTATTGAAAACATACACCAGATACGTTTAGTTTTAGAAATACGATAACATTCAACTCCTTTAAGTTAGACCAACGTAGATCCTACCATTCATTCTTTCCTCCTTAGTCTGAATTTTTTTCTAGACTACGGTAACCCGTAGCAAGAGTACCATACAAAACTAATTCTTTTTGACCTTCACATATAAATTTATTTATGCAAGATAACATTTGGTGTTAAGTTTTTCATGACTGATGACCACAGACATTTTTACGAGTCATATTACAATTCCTGTTTTTAATCAGTTTGTTCAATTAAAAGTGTTTCTCATCATTTACTCCGATTAATGAAGCCACAGGATATAGGATACTATCCTAAGCAATGCATATCCACGTGACTTCCCAAACCTTTGAACTGTTTAGAATTGCGTTGTTCAAATCATGACATTCAAAGTTCAATTATTTTATCAAATATTTTAATGTATTATAATTACTGACTGTGTTGAAGGCGAATTCTTGTGATTTAATCCAAAACTTTTATTGAATGATACTGAGACAAAAACATTGCTTGCATTTATTCAGGCTTTCTTACAGGTTTTTTTTTTTTTTTAAAAATCTTACTGATTGGCACATGTACACACAAAATTTTTAATTTGTGTTCGACTGTGCCATTGATGTTCTAGTTCTTTATGAATGTTACAAATGACCTTTTCTGAAATTAAACGAAGTACATAGAGACTATCCTTATTTATTTTAAGTGTAATTTCACTGAATATCTGTATATTTACGAGATTTGATCCAAAAGAAATGTTACCACTGCTATAACATCTTTTAAATTGGAATTCATCCGCAAAATTTCAGACTCTATCCATTACTTTGGCCCAAAAAATATATTAAGATCTATGAAATACTTTCCAAAATATTAAAACTAAATATAAGGTGAGGTTTGTTCATACCTTCCTATTATCAAAAGTCTGTTGTATTTTTTTTTATTTAAATTTCATTATTAGTTGTTTGTAAGACACAAAAATTCTAATCTCCTTCACAGTGTCAGTTTTTATATTAAAATCAAATAAAATCAAATAGTTTCAAGTACCACTTTTCCCATACAGCATGCATTAAAATTGTCTTGTTTTGCATCTTCAAAAAAAAAAAAAATTAGAAAAAAATATTAAATCATAAAGTACATATAAGGTGCAATAACCTCATTTATATTGCATTACCTTGTTATTTGCATAATTATCGAAATTAAAACATTGTCGTACAAGGTCAAAAATGGTGTCACAAGAACCTTAAAGTGGTGTAAAGACTCATTGTTGTAAGATAATCGAAAGAGAGAAAGACATGGTATGCCTATGGTCTTCATTCTCAACCTTTCAGAAGGAATAGGAGCGGTAGGGATGCACACGATAAAATATTTCATATTAGCAAATCACAATCATAAATTTGTAAGCACATTTTCACTAAATTTCTACCACCCTTGAAATTTTTCCAAGAAAAATTATGATACTTAATACTTGTAATGCTATGTTTCACGTTTGTATCATTCCACTCATTTGTACGTAATACAATTTACCTTTCTTCAAGTATTTCTTCTTCTAAATTATTTTTTGATCAGTAAACTTGTTATTAATTCTTGTAGGTAATATGTATCTATTTGTTTCTCATCATTAGTAATGGATGGCTTTCCTCGTCTATTAATCTTAATTCTTTGAGGTGAAATCATCAAACGAGTACAACAATGTTTTGGTAATGTAACAAATTACTCACAGGTATTTTAGAATTAATTTGCTACTTATAAATCAACAGGTGGGTGGATCAATTTGTGGGCTGTGTTTTTTAGATAACCGACCTTTTTTTGGAGGACAGACAGGTTTTGTGGGTAATTGATAAGTTCATTCTAATATATATTTGTATGTTACAATTGATGCAAACTTGCAATAAAGCATTAAAAGTATTAGGCATATCGCATGTCTACATGATTATGTCAGATACTGGCATAAGTAAAGTAAATTTGCCCAATTTAAAATAAGATT